GCACCAGTATCTTTTTGGGGGTTTTTGTGTGTGTGTGTGCATGTGGGGTGGGGGGGGGCGCTTATTATCACACAAAGTAGACAGACAAAGATATCAAAAGGTCTAGCAGGAAAGAAAAGAAGAAGTAGCTAACCACAGTGGGTGGGGAATTAAAATTTACATACTTATGGTGCTTGACTGTGCATGAATGCTACCATTTCCTTTTACCAACAATGTACCTTGACGTTGAAGTTGAATTTTTTTCCTGACAGGTAGTGCACTCCTATGGTGCCCAAGAAAATGCTTATTAAGCATGCGGTCCACGCCAACAGATGAACAATAAGGCGGTAAAGTTGTTGCATGCAGGTCTTTTTGTCTTCTCCCTTGATCATCTCAGACAGCTGCTCCTGTTGGAAAAGCACCATTTGTAAACTAAGCCTTTCAAATAGGGTGCTTGTTCTTTTTAAACTAAGAACATGGCCCCGAGGGTGACATAACACGTGAACATGTGATCAGGTTCCTGTGAGCAAACGATAACCACAAACACTACTATGTGTGATGTCAAACTGACAAAGACTGCTGCGAAAACTGAAATACTTGTTGCTAAGAATCATCAAGAAAGCATTCAGTGTAAAAACCCCTTTTTAAATAGCTTGGTTTGTTTGGCCTATTTTAAAAATAATTTCAACAAAACAAGAACCAAAAGAAAAGTTTCACACTTCAGTGAGTATTCATATAAGGTCGTACTTTGAGCTGAGTGCTGATTTTCTCAGACTGGAGTCTGACAGATATCTTCTTGCTCACTTTAAAGTCCCAGCAAGAAAAAACTTTCACAGCCATATTCTCGTTAGATTTGAGGACTTGAAAGTTTTTTCCGAAGGATTTGGACAACCTGTCAAAAAAAACCCCAAAAAACCCAGTTTAACCAAAAAAGACACAACAAAAATAGAATTAAAGCATAAGTAATTGAGTTAAAGTTCCACCTGTACACAAGGATGATGCAGATAATGAAGAGGGTGAAGCCAATGGTAAAGAAATAGGCTGCTGGCATTCGGTATTGGTCTCCAGGTAACGTTTCATTGGAGTAATAGCCGTAAAACATCAAGCTGTCAGAAAAGTAGCCCTGTCAAAGAAAACATTAAAGATAGCTCTGGTTTCTTTGTCGCTGAAATAAGCTTGTAAATACAGCTGGGATATGATGTACAGCCATCTCACCGTGCCCGTGAGAAGCTCAATACCACTGAAGTCTGCTTTAGGACTAGGAGGAGGGTTGATGGCTTGTGGGATGATTAGGAACAAGCCAGTGATGACAAAGAGGAGAAGGTTAAGGAACAGGAGTGTTCTCAGAAAAAGGAAGTAGGACAGCACACCGGTTCCATAACGTCCGCTCAGTGTCTTCAAGGCTGAATGCCACAATTTGAACGAACTGAAGACGGGCAGGCAGCTAAAGAGGCAGTGGCGCCAAGTCTGAGGGGAAAGGAACATGAACGTGTCGCCTACACACATGGCGAAATCTTATCACTGTGTACGCTGTTTGCACTTACCATTGAAATGTACATGCTTAGATGAGTGTAGCAGGGTATATTTCTGCCGATGAATGAACTTTCAGTTTTTAAACTGAAAGCAACTTTTCTAGAAGAAGATAGGGAGATGGAATCATTGTCAAAAATGGTGAGACTCCATCCAAATAGATTCTAAGATTCTCGAAGATGACGTAAAGTACTGATCGTGATTTCCATTGCACGACTCCTCTGGTCACGGCAGTGGTTTGTGTCTCACGTACCTGATTTCGATCTTATCTGCCAAGCTAAGTGGCATTGCTCGCAGCTTGCGGGTGCCTTCACTCACTGAGAGGCCTTGGAGGCTGGACACCAGCTGGTCCATATTATTTTCAGCGGTGCACAAATTGGAATCTGTGGAATAAGAGGGGTCAGATCTCACTGTAGTGAGAGGGTTAAAGGTAGAACGAAAAATTTGTCGAAAAATTAGCAAATGCCACCTTCAGTGTTGATTTCCTCCGCCTCGGCCAGAACAGAGGCACCCTGAACTGGTCTGGAGAGGTGAGGAGATTCATTGGATGAGGCCTGATATCGCACTCGCCGGGATTTATTTAATTCTGTGTGGATGAGGAATTTCGTTTTGAACAAATGTTGTAGTTAACACGTGTGAATAAATCCTAGCAAACATTTAGACAGCACGGAAAGATTTTCCCCTCACCTGCAGTGCGACTAGGCATCGAGGCGAGCACCTTTACCGTCGCAGCCGACCAGCCGTGTCTCTGCAGATGGCTGATCTCTTCTCTGTCGAGTGATTCGTCACTCGTGTAACTGCTTCTGTTTGACTGTACATCTACGAAATGATAGGTTTTATAATGTGTAGACATCAAAAATAAAACTACAGATAGAAATTGGATTCTAACATTTCGCTGGGGTGTAAACAGCAAACACTGAGTCATTGTACCTGTGCATTCTTTAAAGACTTCCATCTCCAGTATTTCAGGGCAATTTTGGGTGCTGGTTTCTGGCTCATTGATGGGATTGAAGGAGAAATCCTGAGCTAGTTCTCCATCTGCCAGATTCCTACAAGGGAATAAACAGAATAATGACCAAAAGTCCCCAAAACCTTTGACCAACATGAAGAGGACTTATAGCGCATGTTGTTTTATATGAATAGCTTTTGGAATTTTTCTTTGGACATTGGCTGCTTTTTCAGTTATTTTCAGGGGAGTGCTTTTTTCATCTGTTACGCCGCCTAACTCTTAACTTTGCATCATTTATGCATAAAAATGGCCCCTAACTCAAGTGAGGAAACAGCGTTATGTCTACACATAAAAGACAACTCAGGAAACAACCATGACTGACCATTTTAAATTGTATCTTTAGGCTCCTATATATTTTAGCTCAAACAGCTATTAGCTGAAATCTTGGTATATCTTTGCATGTTGGTCAGTGAGTCCTTAAGAATTTGAGGAAATTGAACAAGTGGACCACAAAAGAAGAAGCAGCGAGCGTAAAAAGGAAATAATATATACAGCAAATGGACAGGATCTGAAAATCCATAAAAATAGAAAAAATTTCCAAGTAAGACCAAAAACAGGACCTAAAAGATGCATTCGAAACTTTATTTAATCCATCTTCTATTCACTGAAACCTCATCAGAAATGTTTTCAGTGTCTGTCCGAGATATGCCAAGTTGCACAAGTGGAGTGAAAATCAGTGGCAGCAGGTCTGATGGAGCGATGAACCCAGATTGGAAAGTTTTTGGTTCAAATCATGGTTAACATGTACGCAAGTCGTAATGACAGAGGTGCAGATATGAGTGTTTATAGTTCTAAAACACAGTGGCGGCTCGACCATAGGTTACATTTTATGTGTTGGGCATTTTACCAGAATTGATGGAATTACGAACACAGAAAAGTGTCGTCAGGTTTTGATTCACCACGCGATACTGCAATCTGGAAAACCTGTGATTGGCAATGGCTTCTAGTGATGGGTCGGTTGCGAACGAAATGGCTCTTAGAGCCGGTTCTCTGACGTGAACGATGCGACCCGGTTCCTTATCGCGAGCTGTGGTTTGTTTTTTTTTTCCCTTTCTCTCACCCGCTCTCTCACACTTTTTTTCCGCTTCACTCCGCATGCAAGCCTTGTGCTTTACGCTGGGCAGAGGGGGGAGGGGCGGTAGTTACACTCAGTAGCACAGGAACAGAGCAGGAGGGAGAGAGAGAAAGAGAGCCAGGGACAACAACGTCACATTAGAAAGGTATAGTAATCATCCACAACTATTTTCAGTTGGGGATGATAAAGGATTCAGAAAGTTTATTCATGCAGGCCCAAATGACAGAGAATATGCATGTTCTTTTTGTTTTCATATTATAATTTATATTTAATTGTGTTGTGGTTTGCAGTGTTTTGTGTTGTTTCACTTTAAATTTGTAAAAGGAAAAAGCTGAAAATTTAAATAGTTAAAAGTTGAAATGTGACTAGTTGATTTTTGTATTATATGATTTATTTATTGCATTTTATGTGGAGTGAATAAATAAAAGTATATTTACGGTGGCCCCTACAGACAAAGCACGTACAAACTCCAAAACACATACAAACTC